TCAAGCGATTCTCCTGCCACAGCCTTCTGAGTAGCTGGGATTACAGATGCACGCCACCATGCCCAGCTAATTTTTGTATTTTTTAAGAGACTGGGTTTCACCATATTGGCCAGGTGTGAGTAATGCTTTTAATAAAAATTGGAACTGGAACAAATATAGAAAGTAATTCCAGCACTTTGGGAGGCCAAAACAGGTGAATCACCTGATGTCACGAGTTCAAGACCATCCTGGCCAATATGGTGAAACCCCATCTATACTAAAATCACAAAAATTAGCCAGGCATGGTGGCGGATGCCCATAAGCTCAGCTACCCAGGAGGCTGGGGCAGGAGAATTGTTGAACCTGGGAGACAGAGGTTGCGTGAGTCCAGATCACACCGCTATACTCCAGACTGGGTGATGAGAGCAAAGCTCAGTTTGCCACTAGCCAAAAAAAGAGAAAGATTGAGTTTGGGTAACTGCTGAAAGGGGACCTTCAGAAGCACTGAAGCATTTTTGGGGTAGGACAGATAAATTATAATTGAGGAATACAATTGGAGTGAAGACCTAAATGAAGAAAGTTTGGATGAAGACCCAAGTCAACATTCAGTCAAAATTCACCAGATCTTATAATCAAGAAATTTCAGATTTGCAGGGAAACCCAGAAGTCATTACATATACCTTCTGTTCAATTCAGCAAGGAATTATTTACTACCAAATTATATGCATTGCGTAGGGAGGTGGATAGGGTGAGACTATTAAGACAAATTAGACAGAATCTGGCCTCAAGTTGCTCAAAATGAAGTGAAGGCTTTCTCAAAAGTGAAAGAAAGAAAAAAAAAAATGAAGTGAGGGCATATAGGCAGCAGTCAGTATAACATAATGGATAATAAGGTGGCTCAGGGACAACACTGTGGCTCACACCTGTAATCTTAGCATTTAGGAGGCCAAGGCTGGAGGATTGTTTGAACCCAGGAGTTTGAGACCAGTCTGGGCAACATGATGAGATCCTCATCTCTACAAAAGTAAAAATGAAAAAGTTAGCTGGGCATGGTGGTGCAGGCCTGTGGTCCCAGCTACTCGAGAGGCTGGGAGGCTCATTTGAGTCTGGGAGTTGAAGGTTGCAGTGAGCTATGATCCTGTCACTGCACTCCAGCCTGGGCAACAGAGAGATACCCTGTCTCCAAAAAAAAGAAAAGAAAGTGGCGGCTCTGAATGAGTTTGTTTAGGTGTTACATTATTTCCACCACCTACTGACCATGTCAGCTAGACCTAGTGGCCTTAAGTAGCTATCCCTTGTCTGTAAAATAGTACCTGTCTCATAGGAGTGCTGTGATAACTAAATTAGGTAATTTGTATTGATTGATTTTAACCCTAAGAGTATATATAGGTTTAGGCTGGGCGAGGTGGCTCACGCCTATAATCCTAGCACTTTGGGAGGCCGAGTTGGGTGGATCACCTGAGGTCAGGAGTTCAATACCAGCCTGACCATCATGGTGAAACCCCATCTTAAAAAAAAAAAAAAGAATATATATAGGTTTAACATTTATTTATTTAAGAGATGGGGGTCTCACTATGTTGTCAAGGCTGGTCTCACATTCCCGGGCTCAGGCGGTCCTTTCGCCTCAGCCTCCTAAATAGCTGGGACTCTAGGCGCACACCAGGCAGGTTTTATTCTCAAAGGTAAAGAAGGCGCTAAGGCCTAGATGCTGATGCGGATTTCCCAGGTGTCCCCCAAGGTTTGAGCCCGCCTACACCTCAATGTATGCGGGCAGCGTTGCTGCGCATGCGCGCGGATAGAGCCGTAAGATGCTAGCGCGGCCGCCAGGAGGCGCAGCCAAGTCACGGGTGTTCTTCCTCGTTCCCAGAAGGCTGGGCGGGGACTTAGGAGTCGACGCAAACTCTGTGCGCCTGCGCGCTGCCTGCTCACTCAGCCAACATGGCGCCCGTGGAGCACGTTGTGGCCGACGCTGGGGCTTTCCTGCGGGATGCGGCTCTGCAGGTACGGGGAGCTCCTTCCTGGACGAGAGAGATCTCGGCTGGCCGCCCCTCAGGGAGAGCCTTGAGTCGAGCGGAGCGTTACTTGGTGCGGGCGGGTCTGAGCTGGGGCGGTCTGTCCGCAGGACATCGGGAAGAACATTTACACCATCCGGGAGGTGGTCAGTGAGATTCGGGACAAGGCCACGCGCAGGCGGCTCGCGGTCCTGCCCTACGAGCTGCGGTTCAAGGAGCCCTTACCGGAATACGTGCGGCTGGGTGAGTACCTCTGCCCAGCCTTGACGGAAAGCTGGGGTCCAGGGCGCAGATGGCACACACTTGGGTGTGAGTTGGGGTCTGGCTGCCTTATCAGAGCAGTGGATTTAAAACCAGCACTTTTTTTTTCTTTTAACTTTTTTCTCTTTTTTTAAGACGGGGTTTCACTATGTTGGTCTTGAACTCCCGACCTCAGGTGATTCGCCCGCCTTGGCCTCCAAAGTGCTTGGATTACAGGCGTGAGCCACCACGCCCTGCCAAAACCAGCACTTTGTAAGAGATCGTGGTGGGAGAGCGGCTTCCTGGGTCTGGAGGCAGCCAGTAACTAGCTGTATGCCCTCGGGCATAGCATTCAAATTTTGACCTCAGTTACCTCCTCTGCAAAATGGGAATAATAATAGCATCTGTCTCCAAGGTTGCTGTGAGCATTAACTGAGGAATATGGCAGTCAGCACAGTGTCAAGCACTTTGCAAACACGCAGTAAATTTATTTGTATTTAGGAGTTTGGATCTCTTGCTAATCCCTTGTCCGTTTCTTTTCAGATTAGTCTGATAACTGGATATAAAGATCTGCACCTGGCAGGTCTTTTATAAAGGTAGTGCCTTTAGGCATTATATTAAATGTGAAAGAAAATTAGGCCAGGTGCAGTGGCTTAAGCCTGTAATCCCAGCACTTTTGGAGCCTGAGGTGGGTGGATCACCTGAGGTCAGGAGCTTGAGACAAGCCTGACCAACATGGTGAAACCCCCATCTCTACTAAAAATACAAAATTACCTGGGCATGGTCGTGTGCTCCTGTAATCCCAGCTACTTGGGGAGGCTGAGGCCGGAGAGTTGCTGATGCCGGAGAACCTGGGAGGTGGAGGTTGCAGTGAGCTGAGATTGTTCCACTGCACTCCAGCCTGGGCGACAGAGCAAGACTCCATCTCAAAAAAAAGAAAGAAAATATAGCAATTTTCTCTTGGCTTAGGAGTCAACGTTGTTCTCTTGTTTCGAATCAGGGCAATACCTAGGAAAGGCTCCTCAGTGTTTGGAAGTGTTTTAGAGGCTAGAGGCTGATAGTAGAGATGATGTTACCTCCTCTCTGATTTTTACAATTTTCTTCTCCAACTTAGTAGCTTTGTGATCTTTGCCAACTTACTAAATCTTTCCGAGGACGTACTAATAGTGCTTCTGAAGATTGGCAAAGTATGAAATGAATTAACAGGTAAAGCTTTTAATGCAGTGTCTAGTACACAGTAAGTGCACAGTAAATTTTCGTTGCTGCGAATGTCTGTTTTTTAGGAAATAAGAGCAGTATATCTGGTGTTCCTTGTATCAGTGTGGCAGAGGACATCTTTCTGTTAATTTCAGGAAATTTTAAGTGTTTATTATGGATGACTGAAGAATAACAGCCGTTAAACAGCTGACATTTACTATGCATTAAGCACATGTTTTTTGTTTCTTCATAAACTACTAAAATTACAAGTTGAGCATCCTGGATCCGAAATCCACAATGCTCCTAAATCTGAAACTTTTTTTTGTTTGTTTTTTTGAGATTGCGTCTTGCTGTGTTGCCCAGGCTGGAGTGCAGTGGCATGATCTCAGCCTACTGCAGCCTCCACCTCCTGGGTTCCAGCAATTCTCCAGCCTTAGCCTCCTGAGTAGCTGGGATTACAGGCACAGGCCACCACACTAATTTTTGTATTTTTAGTAGAGACGGGATTTCACCATGTTGGCCACATGGTCTAGAATTCCTGACCTCAAGTGATCTGCCCACCTCAGCCTCCCAAAGTGAAACATGAGCCACTGCGCCCAGCCAGCTTACTTTTTTTTTTTTTTTTTTTTTTTTTTTTTGAGGAGTCTTACTGTGTCCCTCAGGCTGAAGTGCAGTGGTGAGATCTTGGCTCATTGCAACCTCCACCTCCCAGGTTCAAATGATTTTTCAGCCTCAGCCTCCTGAGTAGCTGGGATTACAGGCATGTACAACCACACCCAGACACGTTTTGTATTTTTAGTAGAGACTGGTTGGCCAGGCTGGTCTTGAACTCCTGACCTCAAGTGATCTGCCTGCCTTGGCCTCCCAAAGTGCTGGGATTATAGGTGTGAGCCACTGCACCTGGCCCTGGCCAACTTTCTGCTTTTTCCTCTGCATTTGATAAGGATGTGACAGTAAACCTAACAGGCACGAATCTTGGTGGTAGATAATACAAATTTTTCAACTATAAATAGGAAAAGGTCAGAAAATGGATGAAAGTGTTATGGTTTTCATGATGTAGTGATCCTTTCTAAATTGTTTTTTTTTTTGATAATTCCATTGGTTATCCAAGGTCATATGGCTTTTTGCCTCTAACTGAAGATGGAAATCTCTTGTTTACAGTAACTGAGTTTTCAAAGAAAACAGGAGACTACCCCAGCCTCTCTGCCACGGACATCCAAGTGCTTGCGCTTACATACCAGTTGGAAGCAGAGTTTGTTGGGGTGTCTCACCTAAAACAAGAACCACAGAAGGTAAATCAAGAGAATGGGTTTTTAAAAGCTTTTTATTATGGGAACTATCAGATGTACAAAAGTAGAGGGACTCGTGTAATGGACCCAGGGTCCCCGTCATCCCCCTCCACTGTTATATCATAGCTAGTCTGTGTTCATCTACGCTGATCTGTAGCCCTCAGTATTCTAAACTCAGACATCGTATGCTATTTTACTGATGGATATTTCTTGGTATGTCTTTTAAGATCAAGACTCTTAAAAACTTCAAAACCATCATTATATCTACACAAAATTAATAGTAATGCCTAATATCAAATATCCAGTCAGTGTTCACATTTCCTAGTTGTTTTGTAAATGTTAAGAGTTTGGATCAGGATCCCACACTGAGGTTCGTACGTTACAGTCAGCAAATGTATCTCAGTCCCTTTTTTTCCCACCTTGAGCCAGGGTCTAGCTGTGTTGCTCAGGCTGGTCTCAGAACTCCTGGGCTCAAGTGATCCTACCACCTCAGCCTCTTGATTAGTCTATTTTGATCTGTAGGTTTTTGGGAAAGGTTGTTTAAATTTGGAAAAATGAAAAAGAATAAAAATATATCGGTACATAATAATTTAAAAAACAATTCCTTCTGGCCAGGTGCCATGGCTTATGCCTATAATCCCAGGGCTTTGGGAGGCCAAGGTAGGAGGCTCACTTGAGCCTAGGCATTTGAGACCAGTGTGGGCAACCCCATGTCTAAAAAAAAAAAGCGAAAGCTAGCTAGGCATGGTGGTATGCACCGGTAGTTCCAGCTACTTGAGAGGTTGAGGCAGGAGGATCACTTGGGCCCAGGAGATTGAGGCTGCAGTGAGTTGTGATCATACCACTGTACTCCAGCCTGGGTGACAGAGTGAGACCCTGCCTCAAAAAAGAGAGCTTTTTGGGGGTAAAAAAGGAGGAACACTGAGTACTTACAAGTGTTTTCAAGGCTTGCTTCCTTCAAAACTTGGACTTCCTATTGTGCTTTTAGGGTTTTGCCCAGCGTGGCCAGGTTGAGGAGACTGATAAATTTGTGCATGGGCCCACTATCTATTTCTAAGCCAGAAGATTTTAGAAGCCAAAAGCTTTAATAATAATTCATTTGCAATAGTGTTGACAAAGAATTGCTTAATCTTCCCTACCTAAAGTCATCAAACTATGATGAACTCATATTTTTGCAGTAGTTGAAACTACCCTCAGTTTTTTTTTATTTTTCAGGAGAGATGGGGTCTCACTGTGTTGCCCAGTCTGGTCTTAAACTCTTGGGACCACCTTGACCTCCCAAAATGCCAAGATTACAGGCATGAGCTACCACACTTGGTTTTTTGTTGTTGTTGGTAGTGTTTTAATGAGACAGTATCTTGCCATCACCCAGGCTGGAGTACCGTGGTGCTGATCACAGCTCACTGCAGCATCAAACTCCTGAGCACAACCAGTCCTCCTACCTCAGCCTCCCAGGTAGCTGGGACTATCGGTGTACATCACCACACCTGGCTAATTAAAGAAAATTTTTTATAGAGACAAGGTCTCACTTTTGTCCAGGCTGATCTCAAACTCCTGGCCGAAAGCAATCCTCCTACCTCAGCCTTCCTAAGGGCTGGGATTTAGTGAGCCACTGCATCCAGCTATTTTTTTATTCTCCAATTTTTTTTTTAAACATTGGGTGTCAGCCAGCTGTGGTGTCTCATATATGTAATCCCAGCACTTTTGGAGGCTGAGTTGGGCGGAATGGATCACTTGAAGCTGGGAGTTTGAGACCAGCCCGGACAGCATGGTGAAACCCTATCTCCACTAAAAAATGCAAAAATTAGTGGGGATTGGTGGTGCATGCCTGTAATCCCACCTACTTGAGAGGCCGAGGCAGGAAAATCGGTTGAACCTGGGAGTCGGAGTTTGCAGTGAGCCGAGATTGTGCCACTGCACTCCAGACTGGGCAACAGAGCAAGATTCTATCTCAAAAAGAAGAAAAAAAACAAAAATGGGTATCTTTAATTTTGATAACCAGGGGTAAAATGTGTTTTTTATTTTTTTAAAGGTTAAAGTGAGTTCATCAATTCAGCACCCAGAAACACCTCTGCACATTTCTGGTTTCCACCTTCCCTCCAAGGTAATTTCTTAGACAAGCTGTGCTCTTCATGCTCTTTTCTGATCCGTAAGTTATCTGTTACAGGGAACCAAATTTACATGGACCAATAACACAGTTTGTCCAGTCCTGTCTGATCTGACTTGTATGTTATACGTGATTTCATCTGTAACCTGAGATGCTACAGATGAATTTTCAGGTTTTAAAATTATTTCTTTTAATTTCAGCCTAAACCCCCACAAGAAACAATAGAGAAAGGACGCCTAGCTTGTGAGCCTGAGAACCTGGAATTTAGTTCCTTCATGTTCTGGAGAAACCCTCTGCCCAACATCGATCATGAACTGCAGGAGCTGCTGGTGAGGCCTTGACTTTTGGTTTCCCTGACGACGCTTCTCCCCACTGCTCCTGTGGGCTGGGAGTTTGAAACGTCTGTTTATGTTTCAGATTGACAGAAGTGAGGATGTTCCAAGTGAGGAGGAGGAGGAGGAGGAGGAAGAAAACGGGTTTGAAGACAGAAAAGAAGACAGCGATGACGATTCGGGTGGCTGGATAACCCCCAGCAACATCAAGCAGATCCAGCAGGAGCTGGAGCAGTGTGACGTCCCCAAGGACGTCCAGGTCGGCTGCGTGACCACAGACTTTGCCATGCAGGTGGGTCGGGTGGGCCTGGGCCGTGTGTCACACATGTCATCAGCAGTGGTGTTACTGAGGTGTGCAGATGTACACGGAGCTGGTGCTGTGCAGCACTTCTTTTCTGGTTCTAGAAACTACTTGTGCCCTTTGGTGATTTTTAGTTTTGCTTAGAGACTAGACAGTCGCGTGATTCAGTGACAACATTTGTTGTATCTTACATTTTTCTTTTTTGAGACAGAGTTTCACTCTTGTTGCCCAGGCTGGAGTGCAATGGTGTGATCTCGGCTGACCACGACCTCCACCCCCAGGTTCAAGCGATTCTCCTGCCTCAGCCTCCCAAGTAGCTGGGATTAACAGGCATGCGCCACATGCCTGGCTAATTTTGTATTTTTAGTAGAGACAGGGTTTCTCCATGTTGGTCAGGCTGGTCTCGAACTCCCGACCTCAGGTGAGCCACCGCGCCTGGCCTGTTGTATAGTACATTAAATTTACTGTTTATTATATATATTTTTTCTGCATATATAATGTCATGTGGTCAGTCAGGTTCTTAAAGAGGGTTTTTGGCCCAGAAATAAATGTATTTGCCCTAGACAAAATAAATGTCTGTTGAGAGTGTTTGCTAGTGACAGGTCATGGAAAATGATGAGGGCAGGCTGCAGGGTGGTGTTAGAAAGACACCTGGGTCCTCCTTGTTTACACATCTTGAGAGGCCTCCCAGGCTGTTTCCTTAGCAAAAGCCAAGGAATATGGGCAAAGCAGAGTTTGTGAAGTTCCCCTAACTGTGATTACAAAATTAATGTGAAAAGAAAATTGAGTTCTTTCCGTATTTAACTTGTGGCTGTAGAATGTTCTGCTGCAGCTGGGGCTGCACGTGCTGGCGGTGAACGGCATGCTGATCCGCGAGGCCCGGAGCTACATCTTGCGCTGCCACGGTTGTTTCAAGTACGTAGCTGGTGACCTGGCCCCAGTGGCCTCTGTGGAACACTCTTCCTGTTTCTTTGTTTTTAGATAGAGTCTTGCTTTGTCACCCGGGCTGGGGTGCGGTCACTGAAACCTCTGCCTCCGGGTTCAAGTGATACTCCTGCCTCAGCCTCCTGAGTAGCTGGACTATAGGTGCATACCACTGCACCCAGCTAATTTTTGTATTAGTAGAGCTGGGGTTTCACCATGTAGGTTAGGCTGGTCTTGAATTCCTGACTTCAAATGATCCATCCACCTTGGCCTCCCAAAGTGCCGGAATTACAGGTATGAGCCACCGTGCCTGGCCCACTCTTCCTGTTTTGCAGAGTTGTTTAAAGAGAGCCCTGTATTATGTATGTGTGTTTCTCCCACCTTGTCATTCCTCTGGGGCCTGGGTTCTGTCTCCACCAGGGCACTGAGAACTTGAGGACAGAGGTTTCCAGTGACCTCTCACCTTCTCTCAGTGGCATAGGGTTAGGGACGTGGGTTTTGGAACAATGAGCCTCATTCTTCAGGGGTACATACTAAAATGTTTGGCCATGGAGAGTCTGGGATTTGCTTTGACATAATCCACAAGTAGAAGGAATGGGTGGGTGTGGAGGTGAAACAAGACTGGCCATGAATTCAGAGTTTTTGAAGCTGGGGGGTGATGGATACGTGGGGGTTTGTTATGTTCTTCTGTCTGCTTTATGCTTGAGAGATTTTTTATTCATAAAAAGAAGAGTACATGGATTCAAATCCAGATTCTGGGTCCTGCTGCCTGTGTAATTTTGCAAAAGCTGATTCACTTCCCTGTGCTTCAGATTCTTTTTCTTTGAGATGAGGTCTCACTATGTTTCCCAGGCTGGTATTGAACTCCTGGCCTCAAACAATCCTCTTACCTCAGCTTCCTAAAGTGGTGAGATTATAGATTATACCCGCCTGTCAGATTCTTTTTTTCTTTTCTTTTTTTTTTTTGAGACGGAGTTTCACTCTTGTTCAGGCTGGGGTGCAACGGCACAATCTCACTGCAACCTCCGCCTTCCGGGTTCAGGCAATTCTCTTGCCTCAGCCTCTTCAGTAGCTGGGACTACAGGCGTGTGCCACCATGCCTGGCTAATTTTTTGTAGAGTTTCACCGTATTAGCCAGGGTGGTCTTGATCTCCTGACCTCGTGATCCACCTGCCTCCCAGAGTGCTGGGATTCCTCCCAAAGTGCTGGGATTATAGGCGTGAGCCACTGAGCCAGGCCCAGATTCTTGTTTTTTGTTGTTGTTGTTTTGTTTTTTGTTTGTTTTTGTTTTTTTTCTTTTTGTTTTTTTTTTTTTGTTTTTTTTTTTTTTTTTTTTTTTTTTTTTTTTTGAGACGGAGTTTCACTCATGTTACCCAGGCTGGAGTGCAATGGCGCGATCTCGGCTCACCGCAACCTCCGCCTCTTGGGTTCAGGCAATTCTCCTGCCTCAGCCTCCTGGGTAGCTGGGATTACAGGCATACGCCACCATGCCCAGCTAATTTTTTGTATTTTAGTAGAGACAGGGTTTCACCATGTTGATCAGGATGGTCTCGATCTCTTGACTTCGTGATCCACCCGCCTCGGCCTCCCAAAGTGCTGGGGTTACAGGCTTGAGCCACCGCGCCCGGCCTCTTTTTGTTGTTTTTGAGACAGAGTCTCACTCTGTTGCCTGGAGTGCAGTAGCACAATCTAGGCTCACTGAAGTCTCTGCCTGCCGGCTTGAAGTGATCCTCCTGCTGCAGCCTCCTAAGTAGCTGGGACTACAGGGCACCCGCCACCATGTCACTAATTTTTTTGTATTTGTGGTGGGGACGGGGTTGACTGTGTTGGCCAGGCTGGTCTCAAATGTCTCAGCTTAAGTGGTTCACCTGCCTTGGCCTCCCAAAGAGCTGGGATTGCAGGTGTGAGCCACCACACCCGGCCCTGTCATATTGGTAATAAGATTGAGAAGATGGTTGTGAGGAACTAGGAAGACAGTCAAGGACTCTGGTATCCAACACATAAGCAGCATGCGTGTCAGGTGGGTGAACTGTTAGTTTCTTGACCACTACCTTCTTGTTGCTTTTCTGGCTCTTGAGTTTGTTCCTGTGTTGGGGGCTGCCGTTCTGTAGGGAGGCCTCTGGGACCCTGGAGACCATCTGGTTGGCTTGGAATAGCCTCTGCTTCAGCCTCGCTTGTGGAGGGTGGCCTGTGGGCTTGTTCTGGGGTGGTATCTGCCATTCTGCAGGCTCAGGCTGGGTCTGGGGGGCATCACGTAGATCATCTGGTGGTGCCCTTGCTATAGAGGCCCATGAGGAACTTTCTAAATCATCTGAGGTGCCTAACTAGGTCCCCAGCTCTTCCACTGGGCAGGGAGAGTTGCCTCTGTGAAGCCTTGTTCCCTGAAGGCCTGAGCATAACCCAGCACTCAGGCTCTGCCAGCCACTGTGGCTCTGCTGGTGACAGCCAGTCACTACTGAGAGCTGCCTGTACCTTCCTCTGAAACTTCCTGTCATTTTGCTGTTTCAGGCTCATGACAGTAAAGCTCTTGGCTTCATAAAATTCCATTTTGGGGGCTGGGCGCGGTAGCTCACGCCTGTAATCCAAGCACTTTGGGAGGCCGAGGCAGGTGGATCACAAGGTCAGGAGTTCGAGACCAACCTGACCAACATGGTAAAAACCCATCTCTACTAAAAACAGAAAAATTAGCCGAGGTGTGGTGGCGGCACGTGCCGGTAATCCCAGCTACTCGGGAGGCTGAGGCAAGAGAATTACTTGAACCCAGGAGGCAGAGGTGGCCGTGAGCCAAGATAACACCACTGCACTCCAGCCTACATGGGCAACAGCAAGAGTCTCCAAAAAAAAAAAAAAATTGCTTTTTCTTCAACATTCTTTGTTACAGAAGCACTAAAGTCTCCAAATTAATACTCAGTTATTAGAAACACTTGGAGTGTTTTTCATTCTTGTCAGATTAGCCCCGTGACTGCACAGTTTGTTGTACAAAATAATGAAGCCCCAGCACTTGTTAGGAGGTGCTTAGTTCACTCACAAGATTTCGGGTAGGGCCTCTGGCTTCTCCTGCTGTTCCACCCAGTTTGTGTGTCTTGACCATTGAGAACTACTGGAGGACAGGGACCTGGGCCACTGCTGTGCCGTTGACAGCAGCAGCTTTCTCCTGTCCAGGGTCCTCTGTGGGTGCCTGCGTGGATAGGCAGGGAAGACTTGGGTATGTCCTCAGCACCCGGGCTTACTTCAGCCAGGGCAGTGTTAGTGGTTCCCAACTCACTGATAAGTACACTCTGCCGCCTCCAGAGCCAATGTTAGAGTTAAAGTCAGAGTTAATACCCAGGCTGACATTTGGAGACAAGGTAGCTCATGGCATAATGAGGCGCCCCTCGAGAAAGTGCCTTGATATGAAGGGCCTTGATTCTGGAGCCAGACTGACTGGGTTTATCTGCCATGGACCAGCTGGGTGACTTTGAGCAAGCTGCCATCACTTGCCTCAGTTTCCCCATCTGTAAAATGGAGATGGTGCCATCCTCCCAGGAGGAGTGAGGTGAATCCTACAGAACAGAGCCTGGGCGGTGTGTAGGAAGGGTTCGGGATTCACTTAACTGCATGCTGCTCACTTTCATGCTTCCTTATCTGCTCCTCCTGGGGTTTATCTGCACCCTCGGAGGGATGTGGCAGCCATTTGCTGACAGCTTCAGCACGAGGCGCGGTGGCCTCCGTCTCTGTGACATGTGGTGCAGTTCAGCCCTTTTCTTCTCCTGAGGCCTGAGACCCACCTCGTGTTCTGGGGAGGTATTTGCTGCCTGTGGCTTTGGTACAGAGCATCTCCTTCTGTGTCTCCCAGGACAACCTCTGACATGAGCCGAGTGTTCTGTTCACACTGTGGGAACAAGACCCTGAAGAAAGTGTCCGTGACTGTCAGTGATGACGGCACCCTGCACATGCACTTCTCCCGCAATCCCAAAGTGCTGAACCCCCGAGGGCTCCGGGTAAGTGGCGCCTCTCCCCGCCCCTCCCAGTGCCAAAATCGAAAAGAACAAAGGACAAAAGAGAACCTAGTCTGGTCGTTTCTGGAAGATCCAGGATTGAAAGCCTGTGACCTAGGTACCAAAACGGAGTGGGGAGAGAGTGTGACAAATGCCATCTAATGAGTAAGTGACTGGTCTGCAGTTGCAGCTCATTGGGAGGAAGGCAGAGGGTTAGATCTGTGCAGAAGGTAAAGGATAGGCCGGGTCTCCTGAAGCCCATGACCCAGAGAGGAAGGGGTGTGGAAAGCACGGCACAGAAGAGAGGGCTGGATGGTCTGGACACACAGCAGCCACTGACGCTGAAAATCAGGAGGAAAGGACTAGGGGGCGAAGGAGTGGCACCGGCTTCTGCCAGCAGCAAAATAGCCCTGTATGCATGAGAAGAACCTTTTTTCTTTCAATTTATAGTTGTAAAAACAGTACAAACAATTCCTTTTTTTTTCTTTGAGACAGAGTCTTGCTCTTGTCACCCAGGCTGGAGTGCAGGGACACAATCTCAGCTCACTGCAACCTTTTTCTCCTGGGTTCAAGCGATTCCCCTCCCTCAGCCTCCCAAGTAGCTGGGATTACAGGTGCCTGCCACCACACGTGGCTAATTTTTGTATTTTGAGTAGAGACTGGGTTTCACTATCTTGGCCAGGCTGGTCTCAAGCTCCTGACCTAGTGATCTGCCCACCTTGGCCTCCCAAAGTGTTGGGATTACAGGCGTGAGCCACTGCACCTGACCTGTTTTTTTTTGTGTGTGTTTTGTTTTGTTTTTGAAGCAGCGTCTCACTCTGTCACCTAGGCTGGAATGCAGTGGCGTGATCTTGGCTCACTAAACTTCCAGCTCCTGGGTTCAAACAATTCTCCTGCCTCAGCCTCCCACGTAGCAGGGATTACAGGCACATGCCCCCATGCTTGGGTAATTTTTGTATTTTTAGTAGAGATGGGGTTTCACCATGTTGGCCAGGCTGGTCTCCAACACCTGGCCTCAAGCGGTCCTCCCACCTCGGCCTGTCAAAATGCTGGGATTACAGGCATGAGTCACTGCACCTGGCCAACAATTCCTGTTTACCCATCACATGGATTTTCCAGGGTTAATCTTGTACCACATCTGTTTTTTTTCTCTTTATACACATACATTTTTTTTTTTCCTGAACCATCTGAGAGTAAACTGTACACATAATGCCCCTTTATCTTGAAACAAGGACTTTATCTTATGTAACCACAGTATAATTATCAAAATCAACAAGTCAGCATTGCTGTGATACTACTGTGTCATCTGCAGACCCAAATTCAGATTTGACCAGTTGTTGCACAAATTTCCTTTCTAACAAAAGGGGATTTTTTGGGTCCAGAATCCAGTCTAGGATAACATGTTGCATTCCGTTGTCTCATCTTTTTTCAACTGGAGTCCTTTCTCAGTCTTTTGTTTTCCATGACCTTGAAATTTTTTAAGAGTATGAGCCCGTTTCTTTGCAGAACGTCCCTCCCCTTGGGTGTGTCTGGTATTTCCATGGGATTTGAGATGGTGGCTCTGCATTTTTGGCAGGAACACCCCAGAAGGAATGCGGCTGTGTCCTCCTCAGGGTGTTGTTTCAGAGGGTAAATGATAACTAGTTGGGTAATTTACTGGTGATACTGACTTTGATCACTTGTTCAGTGGCTTCTGCCACCTTCATCCACTGTAAAGTTATTTATAATTAATAATTTGTGGAAAGAGACTGAGACTATGTATATGTTATTTTTCATTGAACTTAACTAAAGTTGCCTTGAACGGTTATTAAAGTCATGATGGCCAAATGTCGATTTTTTTTTTTGAGATGGAGTCTCACTGTGTCACCCAGGCTGGAGTGTAGTACACAGTCTCAGCTCACTGCAACCTCTGTCCCCTGGGTTCAAGCGGTTCTCCTGCCTCATCCTCCCAAGTAGCTGGGATCACAGGCACCTGCCACCGCACCTGGTTCATTTTTGTGTTTTTAGTAGAGATGGAGTTTCACCATCTTGACCAGGCTGGTCTTGAACTCCTGACCTTGTGATCCACCCGCCTCTGCCTCCCAAAGTGCTGGGATTACAGGTGTGAGTCACCGTGCCTGGCTACCAAATGGTGACTTCTATCATTATTTCTGTGTTTATGTCTTGGTATTCCACTATAAAGAGGAATTTTCCTTTTATTCCCGTTTATTTCTATGAGTGTGGTCTTGTGGATTTTTGTTTCAGTCTGAAGGTTGTGATCTGTCGCTGTCATTTTGAGCCTCACAGTGTGCCATGTGTGGCCAGTGGGAGCCCTTTCGAGATGGCTCCTGTGTTGACAGATCACAGGTATTCTTTGAACACAACTTTCTGGCACAACAAGATGTTCCTTAACTCTTAGGATCTGCCATTTCTCTCGGGACCTCTGGTTTTTCATGTAGGATGGTTTTTAAAAGTAAAGTTTCAGGGACTGGGCGTGTTCGTTGTCCTGGGGTGTCACTGCGTCTTGGCTCCGATGGACAGAGCTAGGAATTATGTACATATGTATATAAATACACACTGGAAATGTTTATTTCTGTATTGTCTTTAGCTGAGTCAAAATACCATGTTCCGTTTTTCATGTGTGAGTTGAGGTGAGAATCAGGTGGGAGGCAGCTGCATGTCACTACAGTTACCATGCACTGTCATCAGGATCTGCAAGGTCGGCTACACCTTATCAGCTGTGGCCTTGTGTGACTGTGGATCCCTTTCTTCTAACGGCCATTCCTTGTCTTATTTCCAGTACTCACTTCCCACTCCCAAAGGGGGCAAATACGCCATCAACCCCCATCTCACCGAGGATCAGCGCTTCCCCCAGCTACGACTCTCCCGAAAAGCCAGGCAGAAAACCAATGTGTTTGCCCCCGACTACATCGCTGGGATGTCACCCTTCGTAGAGAATGACATCTCTAGCCGCTCAGCCACACTGCAGCTCCGGGACAGCACCTTGGGAGCTGGGCGGAGACGCTTAAATCCCAATGCTTCCAGGAAGAAGTTTGTGAAGAAAAGGTGAAATGCGAGTTCCCATAGACAGACTGGATGGCTGTGGTGGCTGCTAAGGAGTTCCATTGTCCCATTTCCCCAGGCCGGTGTCACAGTGCAGCCTTGCCTGGCCATGCTCTGCTGGGTCAGCAGGGAACTGGGCCGTCTGTAGCCTGTGAAAATGCGGACCGCCTGGCCACCTGCCACATGAAGGAGAATTAGATAAAAACAGAAAGACCACCACCCTGGATCCAATCTTCAAGAAAGGACTTTGCAAAGGAGAATATTTTTCTAATAAATGTGGCTGCAAGCTCCAGCGCATTTTTATTAAATAGGCCAAATTTCTGCTGCTTAGGTCATGTCAAGGCCAACACTTGAGCTGCATGCTCAGAGATCAAGCATTGAGATTTATCTTTCTGCCAGAAAATACAAGGTTATAATAAAACTAAGGACTACCATTTTCTTTTCCTTTTCACCTTTTTTTGAGACAAGTTTCCATCATTCTGGAAAGTGCAGTGTGGTGAGCTCCCAGACGGCCTTTCACCTGGATTCTCCACGGTTCTGCCTCATCTGCTTTTTCTGCACACACAGTCACAAAATATGAGTCTCCTAGGAAAATGATATTCTTTTACATAACCACAGTAGAGTCAGCAAATTCAAGAAGTATCACGTTGGTACGTTACTATTACCTCGTATAATCAGCACTGGAAATCACCCTGTATCAGTTCATAGAGATCTTCATTTTTCAGCTGCCTCGTATTGTCAAGAGCTACCAAACAAACTCTCTGTTAAGTACTTACCCAACTTTAGCCTATTTAATCCATAGAACGTTAATAAAGGGTATGGCTGCTGTTATTTCAAGCAGTCCTGAGCTGCAGGAGGTTAAATGAGTTTAACCTCACGTAGCTTAAAAGTGACAGCCTGCGAGTGGCCAGGCAAAGATTTCAACTTTGTCTGTGCTTTTAAGTAAATGTACCAGTGGAGACGGTAGGAAGGAGGGTGAACACTGCCTGCTTTCTGTCTCCATCTTTGTGAAACTCCTGCTCTTAGGAGGATTGATGGCTTGACACCTACCTGGAGCACAGGGTGCTGGGGGAGAGGTGAGTGGTTGTTAGAGCCCGGGGTGACTCCAACATGCCCTTTCCGCTTTCCCCATACTCTGTTCTGTCAGACATAGAGAAGGGTAATAGGCGAGGCATGGTGGCTGATGCCTCTAACTCCAGCATTTTGGGAAGTCGAGGCAGGATCACTTGAGCCTAGGACACAGCGAACAACCTAGGCCAGAAGAATGTCTAGAGAGAATATAAGAAGGTAAGGCTCTTAGCGTAATTGCACCCCTCTTGCTCACCGTCCTCTTGGAATTCCTTCCCTTTCTCCTTAGTCCCACCTATTTCATTCATTATATGAGGCCGTAAGACTATTAAATAAGACTGGTCAGGATTTGGCCTACAGTCCACATGTAATTTTTTTTTTCTTTTTGAGACTGATGCCCAGGCTGGAGTGCAGTGGCACGATGTGCAGCCTCCGCCTCCTGGGTTCAAGTGGTTCTCTGGCCTCAGCCTCTGGAGTAGCTGGGACTATAAGCGTGTGCCACCACGCCCAGCTAATTTTT